CCTATATAGGAATGGCCAGTGCGCTCACTGGCTGAGCGTGGTGTGGGCGACACCACACCAAAGGTTGCAATCCCCTTACCGGTCATGAAAAAGACAAAAAAAAAAAAAAAGTGAAGTCCAGGGTTCAATCCCTGTACTAGCCAACTGCCAAAACAAACAAATAACATATGAAAAAAATTTTCACAGAAGCTTTCCTAATATTTCCAAGGCTGCCTTGCATCATAAAGTCTCTGATGTTTGATGAGGTCTAACTTCTGAAGTTTCACTCACAATTAACTATTCATCACTTTCTCCCCAGGATGAATTCTTTGATATTTAGTATGGAATGAACTTCAGTTGGAAGATTTCCCACATGTATATATACAGTTTTTCTCAATTATGAGTCCTCTGATGATTAGTAAGAGATGAGCTCTGACTAAAAGCTTTCCCACATTCTTTACATTTATAAGGCTTTTCTCCCGTATGAATTCTCATATGTGTCATAAGAGATGAACTCTGTCTGAAGGCTTTCCCACATACTTTACAATTAAATGGTTTCTCTCCGGTATGAATTCTCTGGTGCTGAATTAGAGCCGAGCTTTGGTTGAAGGCTTTTTCACAGTCATGACATTTATAAGGTTTCTCTCCAGTATGAATTTTTCGATGAGTATTAACTCCTGAGTGGGAACTAAAGGCTTTTCCACATTCTTTACAATTATATGGTTTCTCTCCAGTGTGAGTTCTGTGATGTATATTAAGCCGTGAAATCCAGGAGAAGGCTTTCCCACATTCATTACATTTGTAGGGTTTTTCTCCAGTGTGAATTCTTTGATGCTGTATAAGAGCTGAGCTTTGGCTGAAGGCTTTACCACATTCTTTACATGCATACGGTTTCTCACCAGTGTGAATTCTCTGATGTATAATAAGGGCCGAATGATAACTGAATACTTTCCCACACTCGTTGCAATGAAAGGGCTTCTCTCCAGTATGAATTCGATGGTGTCTACTTAGCCGTGATATGGAAGTAAAGGCTTTCCCACACTGACTACATTCATATGGTTTCTCTCCAGTATGAATTCTATGATGCTGAATGAGAGATGAGCACTGACTAAAGGCTCTTCCACATTCAGTACACTTATAGGGCTTTTCTCCAGTATGAATTCGCTGGTGATTATTAAGGGATGAACTGCCTTTAAAAGTTTTTCCACATTCCTTACATTTATAGGGTCTCTCTCCAGTATGCATCCTCTGGTGTCCAATAAGAGATGTGGTGAAACTGAAGGCTTTCCCACATTCACTACACACGTAAGGTTTCTCTCCAGTATGAACTCTCAGGTGCTGAGTTAGGGAAGAGCTTTGGCTGAAAGCTTTTCTACATTCCTTACATTTATAGAGCTTCTCTCCAGTATGGATTCTTTGATGTTTACTCAGGGAAGAACTGTGGAGGAAGATTTTCCCACAGATGTTACATTTATAACATTTATGCACTGTGTTGACTCCCAGTTGTTTAAATAGAATTGAATACTGCTGTGAACGAGGTTTCCTTCCTCTAGAAACAATTCTGGGTTTTCTAATAAGTGATGATAGACCAAGATTCTTCCCAAGTTCAATGCCTTTAAAGATCTTCTCCTTCACACAGGTTTTTTTCATGGTAATTAATACTTTCCTGACAAGTTTGTTCTTTTTGCCTTGTCGCTTCTCTAACTTGTTCACATTTATGTAGGTTTTTCCCAAGCTGAAGTCAAAAGGTCCATCGGCTATAAGCTTTTTCATGTCTTCTTCATTTTCTTCTTTGGAAACTCTGGTTTCAAACAAGCTCTCCCATCCTAAAATAAACAGAACATATAAGTCTGTGTTATGCTGGGAAAAAAGAAAAATGACATCAAAATATAAAAGGACAGCTAACAAATATAGCCTCAAAATCTTAGGAAAGGATGGGAAAAAGAAGGACAAAAGAAAGAGAAAGGATGGTA